GATAGCCCATCTTTGTGAATGTTTCCTAATGTTTTTTCCAATTTGATCGTAAATGTGGAAGGCAGTGGAGCTTCCCTGTATCCTTTGGGATACTACTTCATAAGCTAATAATTATCTTACAAATCCATGATGCAACCAGCTTTTACCTCTCTCACTGTGGGAAACCACATCCCCTCTGGCAGTATCCCCTTCCTTTTGTCACCTGCGCCCTCCCCATGTGCTCTTTTCAATCAGTTTCTTATGTCTTCAATCTAATTTCAAATTAAGGCTCCATGGTGGGGGGCAGGGGCTTGCCTTCCCCACTCCCTGCCTGTGAAATACCAGGCTCTCCTGCCTCGTTACAGAAAGACTAGATTTCTTTGGTGAGCTCAGGCAAGATGCAATTTAGAGTAATCTATCAGACTGATAGAAATACAAGCAGATATAATACTGTGAACTTGTTTTATTTTTAATTATGCAAATCATTATGTAAAATAGGCAAATGCATCATTTCCCCCCAGGCTCCTGGCATTTCCCCACTAAGCTTTAGGGAGTGCAAATTTTGATGTTCTTAGCTCAATAGCCTGCCTGATCATGTAAGACTATATGTTAGTATGCCTCAGAATGTTGAGGTTAAAAGTGTCATGGAAGTTATTTACTAAATGTAACCGGGACAAGTCTCACAATTCAGGCGGTTGCATCACGGGCGTTGGCAGTGCTGGTTAGGCAGGACAGCCGGTGAGGCCCAGCAGGAGAAGGGGGAAGCGATGGCCTTTGTTCGTCTCAGGGCAACAAGGACTGGAAGCCTTGCAACAGGTAACCTGAAAATGTTCACCCTTAGGCACCCAAAATAAGTGGTGGGGTGGGGAGGGGGTGTTTTGTTTTGATTTCCCTCCCCCATGGGAAGAGTTCTCTATCAGATGGGATAGGAAACAAGGAAAATTATATTGGCACCATTTAAGGAGGCTTTAAAACAGCAGGAAAAGACATCATGTAGGGATGCTGCTCCTCACTCTGACTTAGTTTGGAAGTTGAACTGGATTTATTTTTAAATGCGTAAAAAGACAGATAATTGTTTCTTCCTAACAATTCCTCCCTGTGCACGGTAGTCTAGTCAGGCAGCTCCAGAATTGGTACCAATACCTGAGACTGTAAATTTATTCTGGTATCTTGGACTTGCCAGGACTTTGCTTGTGAAGGTTTATTGCCGACAGACCATGCAGCATACTCAGAACACTAGCCGTTAGGAGATTTTTGGAGAAAACCTGTTGAGCTGCTGTGTGGTTGCAATAGACAATTTCTCAGATGCTGCAAAGTCTTGCACAGCACACTTGTTCTGGGTGGCTGATAACCTGGCTAATGGTGGCTGCCTGTGCTTACATGCTGATGAGAATCCCTCCTGTTGTGAGGAAATTTAAGTAATTTTGCAGGCTAACACTTGTGAATTTAGATTGAGGTAGAAACAGGAGACGAGCATAAGTTTGCTGCCTTTTGAAACACGGCTGATGCTACTTACAGAGGTTCTGGATGCTTTGGGGTAACCTGAGTTCCAGAATCCTGGATTTTGTTGTTGCTTTTCTTTTTCTTTTTCTTTTTTTTTTTTAATTGTCCCCTGAAAGCTGTCAGGATGTCCCAGACTGACTTAGCAGCCCAGGATTTTCTTAGGCCACAATCTGCTGTTTTGAGACTGCCATTGCCTCTCTCAGTGATTGTGTCCCATCTCCCAGTGGGTCTAAACAGGAAAAAAACCCCCCTGGAATTTGGTAACACACCCAAGAGACTTTCTTCCTTCATCTTAGTAAATCCTGTTGCACATTCCTGCCATCTGGGATGACCTAGCAGCATCATTCCATGTTATAAATTTACTCTCTTCTTACCTCCTGAAGAAATAATCTAGGATACAGCTTTCCTTCCTTCTTCCTTTCTGCCTACTCTTCAACTCCTTTTTTTTCTTTTGCTTCACTCTGATTCTACACTATGTTCAACATAAGTGTAATGGAGTCACACAGCTTTTATAGCACGTACCAGAGCTCCCAGTCGTCTTTTCATTCATACCATGGTTCGGAGGAATAACTCTAACAAATGGGACCAGTAGAAAACAGGGGGAACCACTGATGCCATCTGCCCTGCCTTGTAAATAAATATCCAGTTAAAGTCTTGCCACTTGATTTGACATTCCTTACTCTGAATAGTTTCTGTCACTGTTTCCCTATTGCTGAAAGATAGTTTCTTGCAATACCATTTTACTAGCTCTGAACTTGTCTCTTGACATACAGAAATCGGAACAAGCGATGCATGGGGCAGAAAGTTTGCAGTTGCTTTACTTTCTCTGCATTGTCATTGCCTGCCAGTGAAACATCGCCCTTCATCCAACGTTTTTCATAGTGAATATCACAAAATACTTTGCAGATGAAGTCAGTCATATAAGCCAAAGCAAAAAATAGAGGTTTTAAGGTGATTATTACAGATAGGTGACTCAACAGCTCATAAAGAAAGATGGGATGGGGAAAAAAAAAAAGAAGAAACAACTGGAAAGAATAATCTTTTTGAAGGTTACTAACAGCCAAAGAACAAACAATAGAGTAGACAAGTTCATGTAAGTTTTTACCATGGGAGGTTGTTTAGGTGAAGAGTATCACAAAAACCTGCTTAGTCACTAGGTGTAGAAAAGTAAGGAATTCAGATAACAAGCCTTAACAAACTGGAAAACTGAAGTTCCTCTAAGGCACTCTCAAACAGCTATAACTGAGAATGAAGAAAAGACATTTCTTTTCCAGAAGCAACTGTTATAGCCATGAGTAGCTAGTCCTGCCCATACATATTTTGGAGAGCACAGTATTATTTTTAAAAACATGTCCACTTTTAGAGGAGTAAATTTATTATAGTAAGTCTGTTTATAACTGTCAACTTCTCTTAACAAATGTAACAAAAGCTGCAGCTCCATGGTCTTACTGGCATGAGGACACATTGTTCATGAGCAGGAGGGGATATGGGAAACATTTGTCCGACAACTGCTGTTGGAGTTCCCTGAGCCAAACCCCGCTGCCTTGAACTGCCCTGGAGGATGGTACAGATTGGTGCATTTGGTGTATTTGCTTAGTTGCTAATAGGAGCACAATTCTGAGTAAAGGAGTAAAAGTAAGAATTTGAATTGTACAGTTCAGGGGACATCTGTCCTCAAAGGGAGGGATGGAGTGGGTTGAATAATACTTGACCCAAGCCTGTCTTTGACCACAGGCTCTCATAGGCCAGTGTGAAGGAAAGCACACGCTCTTGCAGGACTTTTGTCGAGCACACTCTGTGCTGCTGAAGACAAGCTCTGCCTGCACGTTCCAGAGGCTGGATGGTTCCAGCAACCCGTGTTTCGGCGGTGCACCTCAAAACACAGCTATGCTGCAAAACCCACACTTCTGTCCTTAGCAAATGTATGTGGGTCTAGTTCTAGATCTGCTCGGCATCGCCTGGCAGGCCGTTAACAGCCTTCTCCTGACCTATGCCATTTTCTCTCTTGCAGGCAGGCCGGGCGCTTCCACAGAGGAACTGCTGCTTTTTTACAGCCTTTTCGAGTCTCTTAAGGGGTTGCAGCAGTGCAGATGGGGATTTAAAATTTCTCCTCTTTGCTTAGGTAACGCTGGAGGTTTCAAAAAAAGCTGCCTTCCCCCAGCTAAAGCTTAGATTTGCATGAATAAAGCGTTTATTCTGCCAGCAAAAAGCAACGGTCATGCTGCGATAACAAATCAAACCCCCCACGCCGGGGGAGGCGATGGCGCACAGACACGAACATCCCGACAACGCAATCAGCTCATTCTGCAAATGTACCCGCGCGCTTTTTTTTTTCCATCCCCCCCCTTTTTTTTTTCCCCCTTCTTTTTTAATAACTCTGGGCACAGGCAGCTGTTTGCATTTTCAAAGCCTGCTCAGAAAGCAGCCAGTTAATTTTAGTTTGTTCGGGCCACCCTGAGCGAGCTGGCTGGGCCCCCCCTCCCTTCCCGGCTCTGCCCTGCAGCGCG